GCATTTAGAGCACTATTTAGAGTTATTAATAACTCTTAGTTTCTCTACTCTAAGGCTCTGCCCTAGAATATAAAGCTTTCCTCTAATAGCTCTTGGGCTTCTTGTTCTGTAGCAAAAGCTACGCAGGCGGATCCAAAGTTTTGGTTTCCTCTTCTAGATTCTGGTGTTAGCCAGAAGGGGTTGCCTACTACCTTTAGGCCTTTATTGAAGATTTCAATTTCCTCCTTTAGGACCTCTAGGCTATGGTTTGTTAGTAGTTTATGGATAACTACTTTGAACCAAGGAGTGATTGGTTAGGCTGCTTTGAACTCTGTGATATCCTTCTAGATCTCTTAGTTTTCTAGAAGGTATTTTGCTAAAAAAGCTAGAGTGGTAGTAACTATTTTATTGCCTTTTGCTAAAGGTGTTACTAAGTCTACGACTAGGGATTGTACCCCTCCCTTTGTTGTGAAGGCTTTGTCAAAAGCGTTTCTAATTTTTAGGGCGTCGAATGCAGTAGGTATATTACTAACTAGAACAATTTAGCGATCTAATAGGCTAGTAGTCTTTTTTTAGTTGTCTTTTTATGTGTTTTTTTTGTGTGTTTTTAGTTTTGTTTTTTTTAGATATATATCTAAGGTTATTCTTAATTACTAGCTACTACTATTGCGTAGGAGCTAAGGGGCTGAGCTTAAGGTTAGGTGGGCGGGGTATTTGGTTTTTTAAGGCGTCTAACTTTCTCTCTTAGTTCTTTAGAGACGTTAGATAGAGAGGAGATTTAGTCTTCTAGAATTATAGAGTTTTTCTTGTTTACTCTACTATTCTCTATAACGTCTCTAAAGACTTCTATAAGGTCTAGTAAACTAGTTTACCTAGTAAGGTTGTTTTTAGCTAGGTCAGCTGCTTGGATTACTAGGTTTCTAGCAATCTCTAAGGCCTCCTTAATAGAGGTTGCCTTTGGTGTTTTCCCTACTATAGGGTATCTTGGCACTGCTCTAATAAATGGAGAAAAATTGCTTCTTGTCCTAGTATAGGTAGGCCTAGGCGGTTCTTCTAGTTGCCTGTTAGGGCAAGGCGTAGAGGCCTCCTCAGCTATCCCAATTTCTAGATTATTATCCATTAGTCGTTTGCTTATGCCTCTAAGGTCCTTTAAGGCTAGTCTTTTTTTATTATTTTTATTATTTTAATATGTCTATGTTTCTTGCTAAATTTAAGCTTTAATAAGCTCCTGCGTTCCTATTAGCCCCTCTAGTCTTAGCATTAGAGACCAAGCTCTGTGAGAAAATTCTCACAGGCGTGAGATAACGAAGGAAGGCCTCCTTCTTCTCTCTACTGCGCGCTAGCGCCTTAGCTGTAGGTGTTGAAAGTGCTGTTAGTCGATTCCTCGTGGTCGGTTCTCCTAGATAGCGTGCTTTCCTAGCGGAGTGGGGGTGTAGCCAGAGGCGTTTGTACATTAGAGTCTTTAGGAATAGCTAAATAACTAATAAGCTTAGTCTTATATAGCTAAAGCACTTTAATAAGTGTATAAAAATAAGTAGTAAGTACTTATTACTTACTCTTTATGAATAGCTATAAAAGCTATAACTTACTAAATTTCTAAAAATACTATAAAAATAATAAGATTATTACTCTTTATATACTTTTATACTTATCTTACCTCTTGTAATAGGCGGGCCCAACGGGCCGAGCGTACAACTACTTACGCCATCCATAGCCAAAAAGGCAGTAACAAGACTTCAAGCTTCTTGAAGTCCAGGTAGTCGTATAGATATACTCGCTTAGAAGCTAAGCTGTACATACGTAGGCGTAGCCTCTTACACCTCTTATAGCTACTTAATATAAGCTATTTTACCTCTTTAAAGTAGGCTTATCAGTACTAATTTAAATTACTTATACTTACTTATATTAACTATATTACTAAATAAAAGTTCTTAAATCACTTTAAGTAAGCTTTCAACGTATTATTTATAGCTCGTCATATCTCAAAAAGGTTTCAAGGCGCTAAATTAGTGTTATTTAACTTAGAATAAGTTATATCTACCTTCAATATCTTGTTACGCCTTTTTTTACTTTTACTTATCAATACTTAGCTTTAGCTATCATGAACTCTAGAGAATACTCTTGAAATAAAGTTATAATTAACGCTAGTTAAGTAGAGAATTTAGAAACACCTAAATAGCTTATTAATATCTATAGTAAAGGCTTTCAAGAAAGTCTTAAAAGAAGTAGCTATTATTACGTATAAGATAGTATAGGTATAAAAATAAATTAGTAACCTTAAAGTAGCTAATATAGCTATTACCTAGTAAAAATTATATAAAAGAAAGTAGGTTTGAGTAAAAAAACCTTAATGGTAAAAATAAAGTACACTTAACTACTTTTAAAGACCTTATATAATATAGTAATAAAAAAAGTTAAAGAAGTAAAAGCGCGCTAAAGTAAGTCACTATCTTGATAGAAGTGTAGATAGTAAAATAAAAGTAGGTATGATATGTAAATTTATAAAAACATATTGAAAGTAGCCTTTAAATAGAATTTTATATTATATTACTTGAGATAGGCTTGAACTAGGCTATATTAGGCTATACTATAGTAGTTTTAGTGGGGTCTTAGCAAAAGTAGACGGCGAACCTGTGCAGACGGCGAACCTGTGAGGTACGTTATCACTTTTATAATAATAAATATAATTATTCTTAAGATCACCTATATAATTATCAGGACCACTTTTATGTATATATTAGTAAGGATTATAAGCTACGTTCCTAGTGACACTGGTAGGCTGAGTTAAGAACCTTTAGCATGCTTATTACCCGCCTCCTCGGGAGCTCTTTTTGGTCTCTCCCACAATATAGCCTTGGGTTTAAAAACATCCAATACAACATTGCACTAATAGCACCCGTTCACGAGTCAGCAACTTCATCTGCCACATCCTTTGAGCAGACAACGACAAGCTTATCCTCTGAAAACTCTATGAATAATGGTTTACTTCTGCTTGCTTGATAGATAGAAAATCGTCGGTCAATCCCCACCAAGGCTGACAGCACCCACACTTGGACCGATCACGCTCCCTACGCAAATGCAGCACGAGTCCACAAAACCTTAAGTTACAGCACAGGACCCGCCTTCAACTGTAGAGGGTAAGCCTTTGCACAACACCACACCAGCGGGCCATCCTGATGCTTGTGATTTGGCTCCTCTAGATGGCATACGCATTAATACATCGACATCCACAGCAGAGTTAGATTAGTCACAGGATGAGTTCCGCGATCCCATGAAAATACTGTGCCATAAGAAGAATATGTATGTCTACTTGCATGCGGATACTTACATTAGCGACGCCCATAAAAGCCGCTTTCCTGATATTTTGGAGCTTTTTAGGCTGTGACTTCTGAAGGACAAGAAGCTTGCTAAATTTCGCTCAGCTGACACGGAGTACAAGCTTAAATTGGGCGGCTTGAACCTACAGCAAACCTGCCCGTCAATTCTCATCTGCCATCCTTGGCTGAGCATTGAGGTCGGGCGCTTGATACTTAAGAGCCTCACGGCAGCAAGCCTACAGGAACAGTACAAAACCCACGGCGACAACACGCTCCCAGTCTTTGAGATGTACCCTTCTTCGTCGACGAATTTTGGATGCTGGGGAATTCTTTCAAGTACCTCAGCATATATATGGAAGATTATGACCTCAAGTGTGCCCAGCTCGTCTCAGACAATGAACCATATCAGATCAGCACTCTTACCTGCGGTGTCTCATTTGTCGCGAATGACAATGTTTTCGCTCTAACATCTGCTCATGCATTCGAGGACAATGACAACGAGAAAAGCGATAAGTGTGCCTTGAACCACGTTGACTCTACCTCCGATGATGGTGGTTTAGAGAGCGATGATACAAGCGCTCTCGAAGACTATGACTGGGGCGAGCTTGAAGTGGCGAAGGAGATGAAACAATACATCCCCAGTGATTTATACAACCCAGCGCATTCCAAACCGGAGTTCGAAAGACACGCCGGCTACTCTATATTCACGCCCAGCCAGGTTCTGGGAAGATCAAACGATCCGAAATGGGCAAGTGAGCCAAATCTTGACTGGGCTTTAGTGGAAATGCCATTTTCACGTATAGATGTCGAGTTCAACTCTCATGTGCCACTTAAACTACCCGAGAAACCAACTCCCGTCCATGTCGCTACTCCTTCTAGAGATCTTATGGGCACCATATCAAGCATCCCCTCATACATCTCCGGCTCTAGAGATTTCACAACCTTGACCCAGATATGGACAGTTACCCTTGACGGCCACAGTATGACTTGAATACCGGTAATTGTTACACTATATCTGCTGACAACTAGATAGGGGAAGGATATTTACGCAAAGGTGATAGTGGCTCGCCAGTACTTGGATTTGGGTATATGCAAGTATATGGCTACATTACTGCACTCAATTCCTTTGGCGAGGTCCACGTGATGCCGCTCCAAGCGGTGTTAGTCCAGATATGGAAGATGGTACAGCCACGCTCAAAATATTCAAAGCCAAGGGTAGGCCTTGGGGTGCGACCAGAGAATTCTGACCATCGTAAAACCACTCATACCAGATCCTCGCCGATCAGAGATCGTCTGTTTCAGTCCTGGCGAAAAGAAGTGGCAGCGGTGCCGGACACTGAAAGTTTTACTACAAGACCAATTGAACGAGAAGAAGTAGTATAGCTGAACGCTCCGATTTTAAGAATATCCGTTCCCCAACTTATAATAACGTCTACTACGCTAGATACTATCTACAGTATCACATTACAAACAGCATCTTATTCTGTAGGCATGCGTATTACTCCACATACCCCTATGTAATTCTTACAACGCAGCTCTTGGCGCTTACCTGCAACCCCATAGCCATACCCTAAGTCTTACTCCCTCAGCCCTCTGGATGCCTCAGCCATGCGCTCTCTGTCGCTGTCGTCAGATTTGTTTTCAGCCCTGCTGACGACAAATACCAAGGTAATCAAATGTGTATGCGAGGCATTTACCTGCAACGAAAAAAAGGCCACTGGTTTGTAAACAGGGACTAAAGTAGAAAGCCCTTTGGCTATAGATCGATGGTCTTATATATATTAAGTAGCGGCTGCAACAGCTACTACAGTAATGGCTACATTAGTGGGCAGCCGGCGCGGTTATACTGATAAGCTTCTGTCGTGATGGGCAGTCGCAGTGGTGGTAATAGGCGTCCGTGGTAATAAATTATGAAAACAGACTAGTGCAGAGATTATGTGATTTCCTCGCACCCAGAGCTGATCTGATGAGAGATTGATTATCCAATTATCATCGATATCTTCGAAACTTGTGCACGGTATAGAGAACACATGATCAAAGTCGAGCATAATCTGCAGCTTTAGCTGCCATGATTCCTACTTGTAATCCACTATATCAACACTTTGAACATCACCCTAAGAACAAAATATATCACTGATACTGAAATTAGAGCTCGCTATTGGAATTATATGTAGGAACATCCGCCGCAAGGCTATCTATTCAAAAGAGACAAGTACATTGGCCTGGCTGGGCCGGGACTTCAACACCCTTTATACGTGTAGCAGGAAAGACTCCATCACACCAACCAAAGCATGGGAAGCTAGAACACGGTTTTGCATCATAACATTCCTAATCTAGTTGTTAGCATTATTTCAGGAGCGCCTCGCTTTATAAGACATACAATACAGGATGCTGGGATAGCCAGGCTGACGAAGATAGCGGCTATGGTAGAGAACTTCATTCTTTTTTTTCACTGGTAATCTGTATTCGATTTATCAGTCTTAGAGAACGTTCTATGAAAAGAAAGGAGTATGCCTGCATACGCTGACTCGTAAAGAAGTTACCAATTATGTAGTGTTCAAGATATGTAAGAACAAACCAAGTAAAGAAGCTCTTAGCAGGACAAGTGAATAAGCAAAGAATAGTAGCAAGATTGCAAGTCTACAAAAAAACGATAACCTGTTTCCTGCTTGCTACTTATAATTCTGGGCGCACGCATCGCGAACCGAATTAGCTATAGCTTTAGGGAACGGACATACCCTATAATAGACAAAGTAATTTAACGCTTGTCCCTTATAGCTCGCACTATATCGCTCGCTCGGTGGAACTTGCTCTGACTAGCCCTCATTTGTGCCTCGGATCACCATCACCTATTAGCAGTTCAGCACTGACGTGCATTACCCAACCTGCACATGCAGTGCGTGAATCTGGGGGAAGAAGATACCACCAGCAGCGAGCGCACTATGTCGTTTTGCAGCAGTAGGAGTAGTGCCCAATTTAAATCCATGTGGTTCCTTGGTTAGATAGCACTCGTTCATCCTAGAGGTGGGTGGCATCGTGACGCTGAACGAACTCCTATTTCTGAATCGCGACCCTCGTATTTGCCGGTAAGCACACGCGTTCAACAGAGCTTCCATCGGCTGTTGTGGGTGTCTTTGCACTATGCATAGATCCTATTTTGTGCTCTAGATGGAGTTCTCTGTCTGAGAACAGACCACAATACCCTGGGCTCGAATGCGTCTGTGAGGTCCGCCTCTTCGAGTCTAGCGCCACTAATAGCCATACACAAGTATGCTGTCTGAGCCATGCCATGCCGTCTTTCCCGCTGTCGTCAGATGTTTTTTTTCGGCCCCGCCGGCGCCAAACACCGAGGCAATGAAGTTTGTGTGAGCATTTACCCAGAACGAACAATGTCATTGTAGGTGTCAGATGAACACGTGACCCGGGTTTGTCGCCTGAGAAAGCTGCCTGACGAAGCGCCTCGCGCCAACAAGGCTCGTGGGGACGCTGGCTTTTTGGGGCTGGTATACAGGCAGTCGAGCGCGGGACAGGCAGCGGCAGTCCAAAAGAAAGACGGTATATTGTGCAAAGTGGCCGTGCAAAATGGACGCGGGGCTGGGCACGATACTAACGGCGTCAGGCGCGAAGAGGGCGGAGGCGCAGCAACCCAGGTTGATTGACGGATGGAAGGATGGAATGGACGGGCGTAACGCCGTCACTCTAGTTCTTGTTCTTGTCGTTACTGGGCGTCTAGCGGCGGCTAAGTAAGTGAACCTTGCAGCCTTGGTGATTATCACACTGCTAGGCGCAGGGCTTGGTGGGGGATTTAAACGCCGTGTATGCGCCCATGAAACGGACCTTGTGGAGTACCCGCGCTTTCAGCAATCTCGTTGTGCTGCCTTGCAAACGATGTACAACGCCTGGTGGGGCACCTTGGAAGTACTGTAGTCCTCTCTCTCTCAACCAATCACATGCGCGACCGGGGATTAGTGTGGGTGGTCAATGCGTGCAACGGGTCAGACAATGCAACACCCCCTGCATCTCCCAAAGTAGAACCCACCAATTTCAAATCCCCACAACTCCACCACCATGACAGCTATCGAAAAAGCGCTTGCGGCAATCAATTCGCAAGGTCCAGAAGGACAAATCTCGTACCATGCAGCTGCAAAAATATATAGTGTTGCGGCATCAACTTTAACGCGTCGCCACCAAAACAAAACGCAGTCGCGTGCAGCCGCTGCACACCCACGACAACTACTCTCACCACAACAAGAGAAATACCTTGTCCAGCACATAGAAAAACTCTCTGAGCGTAGTACTCCACCGTCCTGAGAGACAATTAAAAATATGTTGCCAATATTGCAAAAAGACAGCTATCTAATAGCTGGGTTACAAGATTTCTTTAGTAGAATAGAGAGAAAATTATCACTAGAAACACCACTGGCATCAACCAAAACCGCAAAAAAGTTAACGATTTTGAAGATTACTATAATTACTTCTGTCTACTTCACGATTATATTAAGAAATACGATATCCAGCCGCAAAATATCTATAATATGGACGAAAAGGGCTTTCTCTTTAGTGTCACTTCAAGGACCAAAAGGGTGTTCTCTAAGAGACTTTAGGATGAAAAGAAAGTTCGAGCAGCTGTTAGAGACGGCAGCAGGGAGTGGATAACAACTTTAGACTGTATTTGTGCTAACGGGAGCTGGATATCGCCTATGATAATCTTTGAGGGCAAAGCTAGACTTTGAAACAACTAGGTAGAGCACCTAGATCCTTCCCAACACTAGATGTTTTTTGCTACTAGCGACTCGGGCTGGAGTAACGATATCCTAGGGCTATCTTGGCTTAAGCAGGTGTTTTAGCGCCAAACGAAAGACAAAGCAAAGCGCGATTATTGGTTGCTGATCCTAGACAGTCATAGGAGTTATTAGACTCCAAGTTTTCAAGAGTTTTGTGACTCTAACAGGATTCTCCTAGCTACTCTCCCTCCCCACTCATCTCACCAACTCCAGCCACTCGACGTTGGCATGTTCAAGCCCCTCTCGAGCGCGTATACTAAAGAACTTAATAGTCTGTCCCACCGCAGTCAAGGCTTAGTGGAGGTGCACAAAAGTGACTTTTTATGGTTATTTTAGGCGGCGTGGACACGGGCGTTCACGTCTAACAAGATACTAAGCTGTTTTTGAGCTACTGGCGTCCACCTGCAGGATAGTAATGCCGTGCTTAAATATCTTAAAAAGTCAACACCACAACAAGATATTAATCCAGAACTTAGAGAGCATGGTGATAGGGATACTACAAGAGAGCTGTCTAATTTTCTAGACAAAACTATAACGGGTTGTGCTGAAGTTATGGTCTCTGCGGTGAAAGACACTATTGCTTCACTCTAGGTCAACAACGAGATTTTGCACCACGAAAACACTAATCTACGAGAAGTACTTGCTATCAAAAATCATCTAAAGAAGCAAAAGAAGCCTCTAGAGCTCCAGCAAAGCAAGCAGTATCATACTCCGGCGGTGGTGTGGAGTCCTAGGACAATAGAAGATGCGAGAGCTCAAGAACGTCAAAAAAAACACCAAGAAGAGCTTGAAAAACTCCAAAAAAAAGAGAAACAACAGGAACGAGCTGCTAGTATAGCTCTACGAAGAAAAATTAATAGACGAGGCAAGGACTGCGCGGGAGTTGAAGAAAATAGCGAGGGATAAAGAGAGAGAAGTGAGGGCCAAAGAACTCTAGTTAAGACGCGCCCAAAAAGCTCGCGATCGCGCAGTCGCAACTTCAAAAAAAGCTCGCGATAAGCAAAATATACCTAAACGAAAAGCTTCATCGTCTCAAAAGTCAAAAAAGTCAAAGGGTGGTGGTGATGCAGGCAGCCAAAGTGGTGGTGCGTCTGCATCGTCGGCTGCGCAGCCCACCACCAAAACAACGATGCGCGGCCGCAACATCAAACTGCCAAAGAAATTTGAGTAGATAGGATTGTTTTTTGAACTATTTAGACTACTCCACCAAAAAATCTCGTGATAATAGCTTTTGTATGGTGCTCTACAGCCTCATTTTTGATAGGCGGACATTTTAGTGGTGGTGTTGCATTGTCTGACCCGTTGCACGCATTGACCACCCACACTAACACCTCTACTTACCTGACAAGAGGGCGTTTGAAACAACAAACGCAGCCGGAGTTGTGAATGAAGAGTATACGTCGCAGAAGACCGATTACCGATTACCGATTATAAGGGCGATTGAAACGTGAAAGAGCTCTTAACTAACAAGTCACAGACTAGAGCTTCGAGACTTCTTGAATCAGGGGTGTTTTGTTTGAAAATAAAAAACATAAACATCGTTGGGTCTGTGTTCAAGTGGGGGTTTTTTTCACAATGGCCTTTGGCGGCATACTAGATAAAATGCAAGGCAAGAAGGCTATTACTACACCACCACCCCAGGAACCAGCACCAACAACAACCACCATCACCAGCACTTCAACACCAACAACTCCCTTGCCCTCTGCAGAAACCAGTAAAACAGAAATCATGGACCCGGCACAAGCCCCTGCACCAGGAAACGTAGACATCGACCAGGATGTCCTAGACGACAAACACCAACTGCCCCCCATGCCCTCCCCGCTGCCCACCCCCCACAAAGATTTCCTCCACTGCATGCCCCCGGACGCGCCCATGTACCGCAAATACAGCGTCTTCACGGCCGGCAGCATCGAAATGGGTGCAGCCGTGCAATGGCAAAAGCAAATGGCGGCGCAGCTCTCGCATCTCCCCATCACCATCTGCAACCCGCGACGCGGCCACTGGAACCCCAACATCACGCCTCTGGCGCGCGACGCCGAGTTCCGGGCGCAAGTCGAGTGGGAGCTCAGTGCTCTCGAGCAAGTCGACGTCATCTGCTTCTTCTTCGACGTCAAGACCAAGAGTCCCGTGTCGCTGCTTGAACTGGGGTTGTGGGCTGCGTCGGACAAGGTGGTCGTGTGCTGCGGCGACGACTTCTGGAAGGGCGGAAACGTAGAAATTACCTGCAAGCGCTATGGTATCCCCTTTGTCAAGAGCTTTGCCGAGCTCGTGCCCGCCGTCGAGAAGATGCTGGTTGAGAAGGGCATGCGTGTTGATGCGCACGGCGACTTAGTGGGCGAGAATGTGCATACGGAGAAGGAGAAGCCGAGGAAGAAGAGTGAGTTGGAGAGGGAGAAGCAGGACTTGGAGATGAAGCTGCAGGACTTGCAGGCCAAGCTGGCGCAGGTCGAGGTGTAAGATGGTTAGTTTGTCCTTTTATGTCCTTTGTTTCTTTCTCATCTCCTTTTTTTTGCACTTTGCGTGGCGGACGGACGGCGGACATCTGAGCGTGTTTATTTGGGTATCAACGGGCAATCATGGGCGTGGGTGGGGCTTTGTGTCAATTACACATCTGCTTGTTTAGTTTGATATCCAGCATACATACCTATCATTTCATGTCTTTCAGTCTTCTAAAATCTCCTTTTTGATCACATCCGTGACGAAACTGCATTTATTCATCATGGAGCAGAATCTACTTGAGCTTAACCTGCAGTACGCCCTTCCACGCTTGCAACGCACTATCAATGTATTCCGACGCATACGCTTCCACATCGGAATCCGACAGCACGCCCCGCAGTATCTCGCCCGTCTTGCCCCATCGAGCCTGAGCCTTGATTGTAGCTTCGCCTTTGCTCTCGATAAGCTTGATGTAGCTATTCGCTGCTTCGCGTACCGCTTCGAAGCACGTTTTTGTCGCGCTTTCAACTTCGCCCACCCAGTTCTTCGGCAGCTTGGCTTTCATGGCGTGCGTGCTCTTGGGATTGACTACCTTTTCGCGCAGGTTATCCGCCAGCTTGACAAGGGCGCGCAGCACCTCGAGCTTCGTGTAGCATGACATGAGCATGTTTTCGTGGAACATTGGGGGTTCATCCTCGGGCTTCACGTCAGTAGCGCTGGGCGTGTACAGCTTCTCCATTGCCAGGCGCATGGCGTGAAGTTCTTCTGGAAGTGCTTTGACGCCTGTAGGAAGCGACTCCATCTTGTCTGCCTGACCAGCCATTATCTTCACAACCGTATTGATGTGATCCCATACTTGTGCCACTTCGGACTCTGCTGGCGTCAGGTTGGCTGCTTCTGTGGTATCATTTGTGTTCTTGACAGCTTCATGGATGAGTCCTCCTGCATTCTCCCATGTTTGCGTCTCGCGGTATAGCAGTCTGCTGCTAGCCTCCCACACGTCGTAGCTTTGGAGAATCCACGACACGTTGGGGATCATGCTGGGCATGAAGAAGGGTAATGGCCCATCGGTTTCGGTATTCTCGTAGTTGGGAAAGCCGGATACATCGACGTTGTCGAAAATATTTTGGAAGCCTATACCAGTCAGCACAATCCCGTACATCAAGACAAGATACACTGTCTTACTTTGTTGGTCTAGGATAGGCAGGTGGTCGATTGATTCACCCTTCAGTCGCGCTATGCGGCGACGCTCCACGTTGCATATATGCTTGGTTGAGCTCGACTTGAATTTCTGCTTCAAGGATAGCAAAGCGGTAGCCTGGTCCCATGGTAGTACGTGCAGGTCCGGAAATATCGTATCGTCCGTCTTGGAATCCATTCTCTCCATGTTACCAATGGCTCTGCCGAGCTCTTCCTCCGCTGAAAAACCTTGGTAGCCCTTAGCACCAAAAGGATGAGTCAGTGAGATCCGGGACAAGACGAATGGAGAAAGGGTATGGACCAGCATCTCCTTGCACTTTGTGTAACTGTACATCTGGAAAGCACTCTTTCCGAGACCAAGGTTAAGGTGCAGTCGGGCAGCAAGTAATGCGCGTGGCCTGTCTTGCTTCTCCTTGTCACAAGCGACTAGGTGGCGTGCGAGCATTGCAGCTTGCAGGAGGAGCTGGGAGTTGGGTGTATTCTCTAGTGACTTCTGGGGTTCTTCGTGAAGCATGGTGTCATGGTGCATTCGAAGAAGGGCGTAGATACCAACATAACCTGCCGGAGAGCTGGGGTCACATCGATCCGATGACTCGCAAGCCTGGGTAAAGACTTTCTCCAAGACTGCTTCGCCATTTTGAAGTTCTTGCGGCGCTAGCGATGTTAGCAGGTACGTCAATTTCAGGATGTTTTGTTTGTGTATCTGCCAATCGTTATCGGTAAAGTTGTCCTATTCTGCAGTCAGCCACAAGCCTAGAATGTACAACTCGAATACATACCTGTCCGGATACTTTGGCGTCGATGAAGAAGTCGTAAAACTCAGTTTTGTTTTCCAGTCCTTGCACAAACGGCCGCAAGTCCTTAAAGCATGAGATGAGAGTCGAGTGGTTTTCCCAGTACACCTTGCAGTCGTCCAACATCGGGGTGCCGATGAACTGGCGAAGCAACATGTACGTCAATTTCAAGACACGGTCCTTGGGTTGTGTCTCTGCTCCAAAGGCGCGTTGTATGATGTCAGATACAATGCCATTACCCCTAGGATACATCATGAGTAAGCGTAACAATGGTTCATGATGCGACTTACTCGTCCGCAGACCGGTTTTTCCGAAGTGCTTCTAGCAGCCCCGCCCATACATCATTCTTCCAAGCACAAAGTTCCCATAGGGCTTTAGAGTCTGGGTTCTCAGCCGACTGAGAAATTGCACTTTCGATAGTAGCAAGACATTGGCTTTCAACGAGAGCCCAATTTTCGCTGTCACGTGGGAGTCTTGTTCTCAGGCCCCGCAAGTCATCTTGATGCGTCGCCATGAGGTCTTTCAGGGCACCAGGCGGGCTGTCCCACAGGGTGATGAGCTCATCGCATCTGTTTTGTCGCGTGAAAAGCTCGCCCATGAAGCGTAGATCCCGTATATCCTTACAGGCAATCGGCTCATCCTGATGGCTTTAGCATACAATGCCTGTAAAGAGTGAGAATTACTTACTGGAGAAGCTTCATAAGCCTGCTTCATTAGCCTTCGCGCTAGGTCAAATTGAATCTGGCACTTCATGCCACCATCTGGTAGTTGACGTTGCTGCTCCGCCGAAAGTTGCGTGGCGAGCACTTGGGTGTAGTGCGCATGTTTCTTGATCGATGCAGACACAGCGCCATCTTTGAGCTCTTTCGTGTATTGCACCACAGCCTGTAGTTGTTAGTTGTTTATAGAGATGAATGGGGTGCTGACATACAAAACGAAAGTCCTCCCAACATTCCTCGCCAAACGCAGCTCTACCTAGCGCAGACCATAGCTCTTGTCGTTCTCTACGGCCCATTGATTTCGCGGCGCTCAGCCAAACCTTGGAGTTTTCATTACCAAGCCCGCTGATACAAACGGTGGTGGTGTGTCGTCGCGTCGCCTCTGCTAATAATTTGTACATGTATGCTAGCAGTCGGATGTCGTACACTCCCGGCTGTTGCCATGCCTGTTGTAATTGAAGAACCACATTCTTGGGATCTTGGTGTAGTTGAAGAGAAAGATCAGCTTTCCAAGCCTAATATAGGATCAGTCATCATTCACACAAAACCTCGGTTTTAGATAATCTTACTAAAAGGAATGGGTTCTTGGGACTCTTCTTCAGTGACTTTTGGACAAAAGAGTCGGCAAATTTGGCTTTTGGGTAGTCCCGCTGAGCCTTACACAATTTGTCCCAACTGTTGCACGCCATGATAGCTTTTGGAGGCGTGAACAGACGACGTAGAAGCGTCTGTGAATTTGGCCAGCGATGTTGGGATTAGAAATCAGCTGACTGGTGTAGGGGCCGCATGTGCGCTGGTGGTGGATTGGCGCAAAAAGACGAAATAGGCCATCGGGCGGGCAATCGGAGGCGAGTCTCGGCTCCGCTTTTACTCACGACACGAGGATTACCTTCACTACACTACCATCGTCACCATCACCATAAGTCTGATCCTGCTGAGTAATTGCAGATTAATAATGTCTAGATTGTAGTGCTTGACTCCGGAGTTTTCATAATGTCAATATCTATACAGCAAGTAACGCAGGCTTCATTGACGGACTAGATATTTACAGCGTAGAAATTTGGTTGACTACATCATTCCCGAGCATTCTAATTCATGGTAAAGCGGCTTTCTGTGCCACAAGTTTCAATTAAATCTCTATCTGAGCAAGCTTAGATTAAATTTCCGTGGTCGCCTTGTTACAACACCCCACTGGCTCAAGAGTTCGAATGATCTGAAACCATTTGGAGACACTCCCCATCAACATCAACATCATGACATGTCTTGACATGATTCGCAGGGGCTCTCCGGCAGTTTGCTGCCAATGAGAACAGTCTTTTGCCTGTCTATATATTACAACATCGGTACATTACTCATTCAATCATACACCGTGAATAACATGGAGCTCCTAGAAGGTAGGCCTCGTCCTCTCGCCCTTCCAGAACCCCATAACCTCTCCAGTTTCTCCAACCCACTCTTTAACCCCGGTAACAACTGCCTTTGCCATGCCCGCATTTGTCCCACTTCTCCCCCTTCTCTTTCCCTGCACACCAGTGCTGGCCCCGCCTACTCCAACGCCTGACCCGCTTCCATATGATTCAGGTGCCTTGCCTGGGGTTATGTAACTGCTTCCATCGCCAGTCGCATACTCGGAGCCCATGGACGGCAAGACATTCTCGCCAGCGGACAAGGAGACGAACAGGGCGAACGGAACAAGCCAGATGCAAAGTCCAAAGTAGGAAGCAATCTCGGTAAAGGTCGGTATATTCATGTCGCGCGCGTAGGGGTACGATGAGTAGGAGTTGGCAGGCGGCGCACTGAAGTGGCGGAACCATAGATAGTGGTTGACTATGACGAGGGCTACAGCCACAGTCAGCATGTCATGCAATGCGCTTGTTGTTCAGAGTGTATCATACCGCACGACAGCAAGAACAAGGGATCTGTGAGCTTGACAATGGGAAAGCGCCTAAGGTTCTGCGCATAGATGCCATGCGACACGATGCTCAGCAGACTTAATCTAGCTGGGAACTTGTCGACCACGAGGAGGAGAAGCTGGATGCCGACGACGCCATAGATGAGACGGTACAGCAGCTTTTTCGCAAATACAGTATGCTCTTCTACAAGCTCGGAAAGGTAGTAAAGCCCCGAGGCTACACTGCACCGTTAGCTTTGGACTTGTCGCGCCGCCAATCGGCTCTTCTGGTGGGCCCAAGTACCTATTGCCAGCGTCAAGAAGGCAAAGCCCAGTATGATACCAATGTATCCAAGCAACGGTAATATCCACATGGCGACTGGCGGCCTCTCGGAGGGTTCTGGGAGATTGAAAGGGTCTGGAAGGCAGGTTGCCGCACGATGAGGTCAGTCCAAAGGTGGCATCAAGAGCTAGCGGAGAAACCCGTCGATCCGCGCCGATGTGTGGGGGTGAACACCAAAAAGTTGTCGAACTCTTGGCTTTCGAATTCCGCGACACCTTGCCGTCACCGCTCGCTTTGCGCTGTCCCACATACCGGCATAATCCAGACACACCGAGACAGTAGAGAGCACGCTTTCCTAGATCTGCCTCTGGACCAAAAACAACCGCAATCATGTCGCGCCCCGAAGACATCCTGTACGCCTCCCACCGCAGCACAAGTCATGCGACGCAGAATTAACAGAGACTTCGATAGACCGCCCGACCTCTTCTACAATGACATCGAGTCGCGAAAGTACACAACTTCCTCGCGAATCCAAAAGATCCAATCCACAATGACCCATCGCGCCCTTTCCCTGCTCGGGCTAACCTCGCCCTCGATGATTCTCGATGTCGGCTGCGGCTCTGGTCTTTCGGGCGAGATCTTGTCGCAAACTGCTGAACAAGGCACACCGGGTGGCCCTCATGTGTGGATTGGCTACGACATCAGCGCATCCATGTTGGGCGTGGCACTGGAGAAAGAAGTCGAGGGCGACTTGTTGCTAGCAGATGCGGGGCAGGGTGTGCCATTCCGACCAGGAACTTTTGATGCGGCGATCAGCATCAGTGCAGTCCAGTGGCTGTGTAATGCCGAGACGAGCGAAGAGAGCCCCGTGGGCAGGCTTTCGAGATTCTTCAACCAACTGTATGCTTCCCTGAAGAGAGGCGGCAGGGCTGTGTGCCAGTTCTACCCCAAGAACGATGCGCAAAAGAAAATGGTGGCCCAGGCGGCCATCAAGGCTGGATTTGGCGCTGGTCTGCTGGAGGATGACATGGGCACCAAAAGCGCAAAGACATATCTTGTGCTCACGGTTGGCGGTGGGGCCGTCGACGGTGACATCACAGGTGTAGTGAGGGGCATGGAGGGCGTTGACGTCGAAGATGCGCGGAGAAAGACAAAGGGCATGAAGCGGGGCGAGGAGCGAAAGGGCAGCAAGGCGTACATCCTAAAGAAGAAGGAAAAGATGGAAAAGCAAGGCAAGGTGGTCAAGTCCTCGTCTAAGTACACAGGCAGGAAGAGGAGGATCCAATTCTAGATACCCACGGCATCACGACGTCACGCATAGCACGGAGTTTTGGGTCTTGATTTCAGTCGGCATCTTCACAAGGGTATAGCAATGGTCAATTCAATCATGCAGCATGCTATATACCACCTACAAGTACAGCTCTATTCACATTTCAGCTCGTAGTTGTACAGATTCCAGGGCGTCCAATCGTCAACGAAATGTGCCTGTTCCATGACCGATGTCATTGCCAGGTGCAACCAAGTGAGCCGAGGCCTAGATGTGGAGATATCATCGCGCTAGATGTTCATGTTAATCATGCCAATCATGCCTTCTCCATCTGGTTCAGGACAGCGCGGGTGAACTCGTGCGTCGTGGTGTTGCCTCCCATGTCCCTTGTGCGGGCGGTACTAAAATTCCGTCAGTTTTATTTTTGCGGCGTGCTGCTCATGTAACTCACCCGTCGGCAATGACCTTGTAGACGGACTGCGAGATGCGGTTGGCGTGGTCGTCAAGACCAATGTGGCGCAGCATCATGGCAGCGGACAGGATCAGAGCAGTGGGGTTGGCCTGGTCCTTGCCCTTGATGTCGAGACCGACGTGACGGCATCCAGGCTCGAAGACGGCGACGTTGCGGCCCATGTTGCATCCGGGGACGATACCGGGGCCGCCGACAAGACCAGCACCAATGTTGGACAGGATACCTCCGTAAAGGTTGGGCATCACCATAACATCGAACTGCTGAGGCCTGGAGACGCACTGCATCGAAGCGTTGTCGACAATCATGTCGTTGGTCTCGAGCGTGGGGTAGTCCTCGCCAACCTTCTTGACGGTGTTGCGGAAGAGACCGTCGGCAAGCTTCATGATGTTGGCCTTGTGGATGCAGGTAACCTTCTTGCGGTTGTTGGCAAGCGCAAAGGCAAAGGCGAACTTGGCAATGCGCTCAGACTTCTCGCGGGTGATGATCTTGAGCGACTCAACCACGCCGTTGACCGACTGGTGCTCAAGGCCAGAGTACTCGCCCTCGGTGTTCTCACGGATGATACAGAAGTCGACGTCCTTGTGGCGCGTCTCGTAACCAGGGATGTTCTTGAGGAGGACAATCGAGGCGTAGATGTCGAGCTCCTGGCGGAGGGCGACGTTGAAGGAACGGTGACCAGACCGCTCGACGGGCGTGTGGAGGATACCCTTGAGACCCAGCTTGTTGCGCTTGAGCGAGGCAATCGACTCGCGGAGGAGCTCCTCGGAGTGCACGTTGCCAGAGTCGACACCAGAGACGTCGACCTGCTCCCACTCAATAGGCACATTGTCCGCCTTGAAGATTTCCTTGACCGACTCGGAGACCTCAGCACCAATACCGTCACCTGCGCATGTTCAATATCGAGTCGCTGGGGGGTTCTGGGCGGCTATCGCGCGTACCAGGAATCAGGGTAACAGTGTATTTGCCGCCGAACTTGGTGGGCTTGAAGATGTCCTGGCCGACCGTGGCCATTGCTGCTGCTGCGTCAGAATTTCCATGCTCATGCTTTTCGCGGGGTAGTGCGTCATACACCGAGTAGCCATGGAGGGAGCCCATCGAGAGGCAGGCTTCGCGCCCCGCAGGAGCGTCTGGATGGGCGCATTAGCATTCGCGTCGCGGCCCGCCCAAAAATTCCCAATTGAGCCTGCACAGGGCATTGCTTACCTGCGCCGTTCGTTGAGAGGTCCTCGACAGCATGGTGGAGTTGCGGCGGTGGGCTGGTGGTGGGCGAGGGATTTGAGGTAGAGAGAAACAAGCTGAAGCTGGCGCTCGCCGAAAATGCATCGGCATCCGAACCGAAGGAAGAAACCGCGCTTGGCGAATCATCGCATCCGTCCAAACCCGCGGCTCGCTGCCTCGATTATCTCCGGCCCAGCGCACCCACTTTCTCTTGTTGCTCGTCCATCTGTATATACTCTATTTATTCTTCGATTCCTATGGGATGCATTGCAAGACAATGCTCCGCTTGGCTCCCACAACCCCTCCAACGCCCAAATTCGGGCAAGCGGAACTGTTCGCATGTGATAATGAGGCCTGGCCCTAGCATGTACGACCTTCCGTGGCCGGGTAGAGCCAATACAATAAATCCGTGCATTTCACGAGGAATATGAAACTTTTGCAGTATGTCTCGCATCAGACTGGCCTGTGAACTAATTCACATACTGATAAAGAAATTTTACGCTTGATTTTTCTCATCCGTACATGCACTTGAGTACATTAAGCAGCGGAAGAGCAAAACTTCCCTATCCAATTACCCAACTTATTTTCTTTGCTATCGCATGCAAGTGTTAAATAAAATAACACTTTATTGCATCGTCAAGGCTCTCATCAACTCCGCTTTAGCCTCAGCTGCAGGATCAACCAGCAACATAATAGGCTCTTCACCAAATTTAGTGACCATAACGCTCCATGTCCAAGATAAAGGTTACCGAAATAGGTACAGCTACAACGCATTAGGCAGGAGATGCTGTAAGAGGAAAGCGAATTTACTGGAGGAAAGGACCGCTATAGCGCCAGTGTAACGCTTGTGCAGAGTCTCGAAGAGAACAAATGTGGCTGTTAACGCCCCTCATCTCGTAGATTCGATGGAAAAGTTGTCTCATTGCGTCACGGAGCTGGGGTGGGACTGAGAACTTGAGCTCAGAGTTATTGAATTTCTTCAAGGACTTGGAAAGCGTATGATTGCTCATTGGGGCGGACAGTACGACAAGCCAAAATTGGTGACTGCACTCTTCATCTCTGCAATTCCAAGATTTTGGTCATTTGCAATGCCTGGTTTGACTCTTAACCGCGGATGAACTGCAATTGCGATATATTTGCTTGCTACTTTGGAATACCAGCTTCATACTATCATCCGAACCTCGCTATAAGTTGTAATGTATGCTCAACAATACTAGCAATTTTAAGTTATGTCCGACCTCAATTTAGGAATGCGAGAAGTTATCCACTCAGGGCACCGCTAGCAATTTATACCCGGTCCAAAGCCCAAATTACTCAAGGTGAGGATATTAGGCAGCCCAACTTGACATCCCCGTATAATCATTCCTCAGACGCATGCTCCCTGGATATCCTCATATTGGCTTTGATCCGCTCCAACAGCTCTGCCGTTGTCGCGAGAGGAGAAGGATGTAAGTTTCGCTGCAATACCGTTAGCCGAGTCTAGTACTTAACCAGACAGGCCCGATCCTCCAGCAACCCGCACACGTCCCCAAATACTTACATGCTTAAGCCAGGTAACACACTGATCATGTGTCCATGTCTCTGGATCTGCAATCTAACATTAGTCTGTTCCCTTCTCAAAATTGCATATTGATTATGCATAAAGGCAACGTACCGCCGGTAGGATCTTGACTGGGAAAGATGTCCTGACCCCAGATACTCCACGCTGCGACACCTGCAACTACGGCGGCGAAAGCGAAAAATGGGCCCTGTGCACTCGTCAACATCCGAAGAAATCGGCATTGAGAAGGCCCACTATGTATAGTAGATGCCAGGATAGCCATGAATAACCTACACGTTGCTGCACTGCTCGGTCGAGGGGGGTCGGCATGTTAAAGGGTGATAGATATGGCGAAGGGTGAGTCTTTTCCAAAAGTCACTTGAGGATAAAAGGCCAGATACGAGGGGTTTCAGCCTTCAAGTAGGAATTGGGTTGTAGGCAGCCACTGCATCGCCCCCCATGGATGCAGGCTGTTCCATGTGAAGCGCCACACACGTCGTCACCCCACCAAGCCCGATACAGCAAGGCTCACATTCAGCCCCTTGGTGGCCCGTGCGTCCACGCTTCGCTTGCCGGTCGACTCTCCGCACAACTAAGAAATTGCTGAATGCTTCACGATCCGAACACCGACTCGTCGACACATAACCGTCAAGATGCCTTCCGAAGTTTCCGACATTAAGCAGTTCATCGAGATCTGCAGGCGCAAGGATGCTAAGTGTACGTCTACCAATTTTGATGCGGAGGAGGTTGCGGTCGCGAAAAGAGGAGGATGTTCGCGCGGTGAAGGAAGAAAATGCGATTTTGGACCACGGCAAGGCTGCACAGAGAAAAATACTAACAGAACTGCAGCCGCCCGCATAAAGAAGAACAAGAAGGTCAACAACATCAAGTTCAAGGTCCGATGCTCGACCAACGTCTACACTCTCGTCCTTAAGGACACCGACAAGGCCGAGAAGCTCAAGCAGAGTCTGCCCCCGGGTACGCACCAGCCGTGAACAATATGTTTAACTCCTTGGGGCATAGAGTCTAATCCATTACAGGTCTTACCATCTCCGACGTTGGCAAGAAGAACCCCAAGGGCAAGCGCACCGCATAAATGGATCGAAAGGCATGAGGAACTGAGGACGGAATTGTGCAAGGACATCAATGCATGATGCGCACGAAGCATGAAAGCATGGGCGGACGGCGTCACAACGGATAACCCTTGTTCATTGGCATTACAGAACCCCTCACGTGGGTTACCACCAGGAATGAAAAATGTCAAAAAATCAGTCCAAACAGCATGAAGATATCTTGACGTAATGGTGGTGCTTCATGTTGTTATCATTACTGAATAGCTGGCTACGGAGCCCATAGCTTCATAGTTGCTAATACAGCGACTGCTTCGACTTGTTCTGTCCCCGCTTGACATTGAATACATGCTTATCTCTTCCAAGTGCACAATGCTGCCATTCAAATGCACGCACCGTCTTGGTGTCATTCAGGCAGACATGATTATGGTGATGCAATGGGACGTCGGGTCAGTACTCATAGGTCGTATCACATGAATCCTCGGCTGCGCTCCTATTGCACAACAAATAGCCTAGCATTCGAGCTCAGATTATGTCGCGACGGGGAGATGATAAATTTAGGTTTACGCAGCACAGGAGGAACGATCATAAATGTAAGCAGAGAATACCATTGGAATGAATTCAAAGATGCGACAGCAGCCGTACCTTTAATCCCTGGCATTGAGGTAATCCAATTTGCAAGAAACCGACATTGTGCTTGAATATGCATCTCCAAGTTACACCTGTGGGAATGAATGCAAGTGTTGGAGTTGTTGTGCAGAGGTAATGTGGAGCATTCCCGCGAGCTCCGCACTGGCTATCCAGGGCAGCGCTGCAGGGGTCCCCTGTCCTGCCAAGTTGTCTACATTCTGGATGAGCAGTGAACACCTGGCGGGTAAAAGGGCAGATGTACATTGTCTTGAGGATGTTTTGGATAGAGATGTTTGGACTACCGACTTCCTAAGAGCGAATTGCATTCGCTCAGCCCCGCCTCGTTACGACCACAAAACGCGTCGCGCCGCCCGATGAACTCTCCACGCGATCCATTCAACCGCAGCAGAGCAACCTTCAAAACACCCTCCGCCTTTGGCATCCTCCAGAACGTCGCGAACAGGACCGCCTTGCAAGCCGTAGAGTCCAGCAGGCAGGCAGTCGAGGCCACAAAACGAGCAATCCAGGACTCAGACATGTCCTTCGCTATCCCGCGCAACGTACCCAATTTCGAGAGCGCGCAACGCAAGTTTGAGGATAATGTTTGGAATAAGCTGCCAGGGAATGAAAAGGGCTTGCCAATGTACAAAGACAAGCCTTCGGGAAAAGTCTACGGATATGGCGCTGGGAGGGGAGGGTGGGGTTTCATGAGGGGCAAGAGGGGAATGGCGTTGATTGCCTTGGTGGTACTGGGACTCTTCTACTGGTTCGGATGGTCGAGTGGAGATGCTGTACAAGACGAGAAAGACACAGGAAAGAGCCTAGCGTCGAAGCTTGGTGGAAGCGCTACAGGGAAAAAGGGCAAAGTAGACTGGGAGAAGCGGAGACAAGCAGTAAAGGATGCCTTTTTGCTGAGTTGGAACGCATACGAGGAGCATGGCTGGGGCTACGACGAGTACCGACCGGTGTCAAAGAAAGGACGATACATGGCTGAGCCCAACGGTCTTGGTTGGATCATTGTAGATGCGCTCGACACGCTCATGATCATGAACCTGACCAAGGAATACAACCACGCCCGCGAATGGATATCCACCACTCTGGATTACGACAAGAAGCAGGATGTCAACACGTTCGAAACTACAATTCGTATGCTTGGCGGTCTACTCTCGGCACATTACCTACAAGACACACTCCCTGGGATGAAGCCCACAAATGCAAATGAGGAGGATCTCTTTTTGGAGAAGGCCGTGGATCTTGCTGACCGTCTCATGGGCGCATACGAATCACCTTCAGGCGTACCTTGGGCCAGTGTCATTCTCGCTACCTCCAAGGGCGAAGCCTCGCACGCCGACGGCGGTGCCTCTTCCACTGCTGAAGCGACTACGCTCCAACTTGAAATGAAATACCTCTCATCCATCACGGGCGAATTTAACTACTGGAAAGCAGCAGAGAAGGTCATGCAAGTCGTCGACAACCTCGGTGCCAAAGACGGTCTTCTGCCCATCTTCATCTACGCAGACAGGGGCACTTTCCGCGGAAACGAGATTCGATGGGGCAGCCGTGGAGACAGCTACTACGAATATCTTCCAAAGCAATACCTCCAGACGCAGAAACAAGAGCCCGTGTACATGGAAATGTGGAAGGAGTCACTGAATGGCGCAAAAAAGCATCTTCTTACCTACACAAAACACAGCCACTTCACCGTCCTAGCGGAGCGACCAAACGGCATCGAGGGGCATCTGCACCCCAAGATGGACCATCTCGTATGCTTCCTCCCCGGCACCATTGCTCTAGCAGTCACGGGCGGCGCGACTCTCGCCGAAGCACGCAAGCAGCCCTCATGGGGCAAAGAGCAAGAAGAAGACATTACCCTCGCACGCGAACTCACAAAAACCTGCATGGGCATGTACAAAGTAACCGCGACAGGCCTCGCGCCTGAAATCGCGCATTTCACCCTCGACGATCCCCCCAAGATGTACCGCACCGAGATCCTCGCCTCCAAATCCGACCTCGACACCAGCGTCCCGGACGGCGAGGACTGGAAAGCCGATTTCCAGATCAAGCCTGCCGACTCGCATAACTTGCAGCGCCCGGAAACCGTCGAGTCGCTGCTGTACATGTGGCGCATCACGGGCGACAACGTGTACCGCGAGTGGGGCTGGGAAATGTTCCAGTCGTTTGTCGAGCACACGGCTGTGCCGGAAAACGGCGGCTTCTCCAGCATCGGCGATGTCACCAAGATTCCGCCTCCGACGAGGGATAACATGGAGAGTTTTTGGTTGGTACGTGATGAATATCGTCTGCCCCCCCATCTCCACTCTTCTCCTTGTTCTTCGAGACTGGATAGATTGCTAACGTGGACATAAATGTACAGGCAGAGACACTCAAATACATGTATCTCCTCTTTTCCCCAGACGACCTCCTCCCGCTGGATCAAATCGTCTTCAACACCGAGGCGCATCCCTTTCCGCGATTTGACCCCAGTAAGAAGCGGTTCAAGACGGGCTGGGAGCGCATACCGAGAGATGAAAAGGGCAATCTTATAGCCAGAAAGGAGGACGAAGAGAAGAAGAAGTCGTAAGCATCAAGATGGGCCAGGGGAGGAGCGAGGGTTGAGTTCATTTGCATAAGTGGGCGTTTCTTCTGATTCTTCTGATTCTTTGATGCATTTGCAGATGTTGACTTTGCACTGACTTTTCTGAGACCCAATATTTGACCCGTATCTTTTGTTCAACTACACTTCATGGCCAGATGTGTTTCCATTGTCCTCACCTACACATACGCCACAAGAAAAAAGCACCACAAACAACGCATCACAAGCAGGGACAAGGATTGGAGGCTGATGCTTTGTTTTTTTTTCATAAGGTATATATATAAATGCACGATATGCCTCTGCTATCTTAAACTCCCACGCTAATGCCTCTCTCCTCATACATTCGCTAACATAAAGTGCTTCGATTCGTAAAACATGATTCGTGTTTCCTTGCATTATCGTCATCACCATCACCCTCGTACCCTTGTTTTTTTATTCCTATACGATCAGACTCGCGGATATCAAAAGCGTTTTCTTAGCATGGCTAAAGCTGTTTCTGCAATGGCACAACAAGAAACTTGTCCCAGCCAGTGCGACGTGATGGACGGAAGTTGGCGACGTGGTACTTGCGGTGGGTGCAATCTTCTCTAACAGAACTCAGGCTGTTCCTAACGCTCCTGTGACTGTGACTTTGATTGTTCCTCGCCAATGCGTGGCGGGCTCTTGGAATGCACAGACGAGTTCCTAAAGGGCGAGTGGCTACCTCTGTCAATCAGGGCATTAGCTTTGCGATTTCGGCAGCCGTTGCATCATGGCAAGGCTTACGAGCGTCTCCGCTTCCCTTCATCCCTCCGATCCTCAATCACTTTGAGCATCGTCTTCCGTCCATCCTTGGCATTGATGTGTGCATCTCGCATGCTCATGCTGACCTTGGTACTCGCATCTGCCCTCAGCAGCCGCTTGAGCAGCAAATGTCGCATCAGGACGCATACAAACACGCCACAGTCGCTTCCGTTTTCCTGTTGGGGACTGTCGTTCATGGGTATGAATCTCAACCTCTTTCCTAGCAGCTGTTCCAGCTTCGAAGTCGTGCTTCGTGCCTCCCGGTCGTTTGCCTGACTCATGGAGTCATAGTGGAAGGAAACACCGTCGATTATGGAGACAAGCAGAAGAGACCAATGCGATCCGCCCTCTGCTTGGGTCACATCGCAGTTATCGTTTATGGGTAGGAAAACGTGTGTTGTGCGGCTGAAATCGGGAAGGACTTCCTTGAGGGAGAGGGGATCGGCGGATTGCATGAGCATGTATGACATGGAGGGGCGGAGAAGGACAATGGAGGCTTTGGGGAAGGCCGTCAGCTCTTCGCGCTCGAGATATTCCTGCCAAAAGGCGATTGCCTGCCCCGGGCGTTAGTCACAGCAGTTGGGCGAGTGGACGAGCATGCGCACATTGTCGGTAAGCCAGTCATTGGACTTGATGCTGTCGAGATCGGCTCGTGTTACTATAACCGTCAGCATTAGGGCTGGTTTCGCCATGTGTGCAAGCCAAAGTACAGGTGACGCTGTCACACACCCCGAACGTCGTAGTCTTTGTACAGTCAGTCTGTGGCCCGTCTGGCGTTGTTGCGTCTAGACTCACACGAAAGATAGGCCTCATCCGGACTGGGGTCGCCCAGGTGCCGCCTCGCCTTGTCCTTGATGCGGGAGAAGGACCCGTGCATGTTGAGTTGTGCGCGCTGGCGCTGTGGTGTGTGTGGAAGAGGGCAGGTGCAGGGCTGTCGGGGTATGTTTCAGGCTTGCAGACGTTGGCGTGGTGGATATGCAGGTAGCGAGGAGTGTCAGAGACGGCTGTCTTAGGGCCAATGCGCGCGCTCTAGAAGATGGCTAGTCTTGCCACGGGCAAAATGCAGGGATGACGTATGCGGCCTGGCCAGATGGTTTTTTGTTGGGGTACCGAAAGGGTCCTGGGCTTGCCTCGGCTAATGTGTGCTGTGAATGGTCTGATATCACACGACTTGAAGCCCGTCTTCTGATAGCTGCCGAATGCTGCTTCATTGTTCATCAATTTTCTATATACATACGTATACACTTGCCATATGCGCCTGGACGCCAATGTCATGGTTACTGTTCTTTTTTAGACGCCGAATGATTCCAAGTACGTAGCAAGGCACACAACCCCCCTATGGCAGCTGTCCAACAATCTTGGCGCCGTCGGTCTGATCTTGCTTTCCAAACTGCGCTGGCCTTTCTACCGTGAAAAGCCAGTTGCTCTTGTCTTCGATCTTGCCTTGTTGAATTCCCTTGAGAGTTGCAAGGAGCTTCTTGCATGCCGGGCCTGGTTCTTGCTGGGCCTCTGCGTACGTGAACTTGTCACCTCTGGACTGCATGGTGATGGACTTGATGGGAACCAGAGCAGCTGCGGTTCCGGCAGCCAAGACTTCGTCGAATGTGCTGAGCTCGTCGTAGGAGATCTGGCATTGTTAGTTACGTTCCACGAACAAATGGCTGCATACAGTACCTCGCGAGACTCAGCCTCCCATCCAAAAGACTCGGCGATTCTCAAAACACTGTCACCTGTGACACTCTGAATCACGTTCTTGCTGTTAGAGGCGACCAGCTTGAATTTATCACCGTTCTTCTTGACACCAATGAAAGCCGACGTGGAGAACTCGTCAATCACGCTCCTGCTCTTGCTGTCCAAATGGAGCGTGATGCCATAGCCGGCCTTGTACGCCTTTTCGCTGTGCCTTAGAACTGGCGCGTAGTTTCCGCCCACCTTGGCTGATCCCGTACCCTCCGGGGCTGCACGGTCAAAGTCCTCGAGAATGAGAGCGTCCACCGGGTTGGATCCGTGGTAAACGCCAGTTGGGATACAGTAAACGACAAAAGTGTACTCTTGCGGCGGGTTGAGACCTAGTTGGGCCGAACTTCCGAAAAGCAGTGGCCGGATGTACATGGCTGCACCGGTTTCATGGGGTGGGACGTAAGCCGCATTCATGCCCACGGCCATACTGCAGCAGGCGACAAAATGGTCGGTCGGGACCTCTGGAATTGAGATGAACGAGGCCGAGTGTTGCATTCGTTCCGCATTCTTGTTCGGCCTGAAGATGTTGATGGTGTTGTTTGGTGCGCGGAAAGCCTTCATACCCTCGTAGCACTGCATGCCGTAGTTCAGGCCAGGCGCCATGCCGTGGATGCGAAGAAAAGGGTCCTCGACGAAAACTGGCGGGCTCCATTTTCCAGTTTCGACAGAATAATGCGATTCAACATGGCCAGCAACTTGAGAACGATTAGAATGGAACTGTACAAGATGGGGTAGGATGCATTTTGCGTCCTGCGCAACAGATGTCTTTCTTCTGCGGAACACCTTGATGCACTTTCCCATATATGGCTTGAAGCAACCCTGGATAGAGCTTTGTCGTACCTTCTCGGATCTTGAAGCCTACGTTGCTCCAATCTACAAAACAGTCAGCATGACCGACATTTGCGTCGAAAATGAAAATTGACACGAATATGCCATTTGGGCAGCAATTCACATACCAATGGTGTCGACTGGTGGAGGAGGGAAATCAGACATGGCTGCAATGGGTGTGGGGATAGCAGAGATGCGCGGTGATGTGGTACGAGCAATTGTGCAAGATGGATTTGGCGCTGGTAAAGTTTTGATCGTTTTTGGCGGCTCAGCTCAGTAAGCTGACCCAGCTAGTACTGCGATATCGGTGACGTACGGCCGGGAATATCCTTGAGCAGCCGCCGCAATATATCAAAAGGTGCTTGAGCGCAGCTTAATCCATCCATTTGCAAACAATGCTAGATTCAGCTTCCAGGCTGCGCCACAGTGCAGCGCCGTCGTGTCTGCAGCCCATGGAGCCGTGATGCTCTGGATGCGTCCATTCTTGGCGTAATCGATCGAAGCTATCCAACACGCATGATTGAATGCGCTAGGTACATGTCTAACATTCTTGGGTTGAGATATTGTAACAGTGGTTGCAGTGCACGCAGCTCGCGTTCTAGGTGACTCTATTTCCGATTTCCCCGGCACACCGAGAGGAGACTTCGATGACTACTCGCGCTACGCCCTAACCCGAGGTTGACGCTACACAGCTCAATGCCAAAGACCGGCTCAACATAAAATTCCCTAGTAACACTATCTTGATGCGTGAACAATAATCCAACTATATTGAGATGCGTTTGTTGTATGAAAGATTTCGATAGGTCAACGCATCAACCTGCACAATAAGACAGCAGATGATGCTATATCCTCTGCGACACATTTATATGGATACTAGCTCTTAGGAGAATGATCATGACACGTTGTAATGATTCAATACGCCACAATAACACACATATAACATGACGTGGGTAGAGCAAGCGTATAATTGTATATAAAGAGAGTATACACTAAGGCCAAGCTACGAGCAGTATAGAAGCAGAATACCTTGTATAATAAACCTTATCCTCGCATCTCTTCTGAATATAAGATTGATACAAACTCTGTGTTGAGGTCTCTCCACCTATATCAGATATTAGGTAATTTACCTAACCTAATCCACGCATCTCCTATGAAAGAATTCGATCCAAAGAGCACTACTTAGAAGGGCTCCCAACTAGAATCATTGTTAGCTAAAAACAAAAGCAATTACCAATCGCGACCCTCGAGTGACACACCTGGTTCGAAATGCTTGCTTTATCTGCTTTCCTCGAGAGGGTTGCCGCGCCGGACTCGACCACCCTGAGGACCACTATGCGTCCCTGGGGGATTTGGAGTGTTATGGAAAGGGTGTTTTCTCAAGTTTGAAATCTTATCTCTTTCTTCGTATTTGGTAGCAGTAGGGGCGGCTATAGCGATAGCTACAAGAGCAGTAACAACCAAAGTGAATTTCATATTTAATGTGGTTGGCTAACTAAGAATATTCGTGTAGAATCAAAGACTTGACACACAAGAGAGAGAGTGTGTGAGATAATGAGCTGGTAAAACGAGCTGTGCATGATATGGCCCGTCTTTATAAGCTTCCACTAAAGTATGAAAGACTTGCTATTGCAGAAGGCCCAACTGTGTGCATAAATAGGCCAGTATTGAATGAGTAAGACGAATGACTCGAAGTAGTCAGAATACGGGCCCTACGGCTCGTGGCCTTTTATGAAATCAAACGAAATGATTTTAGGGGTCGGGTCGAATGGTACTGACACAGGAAACATCCACAGGTGGCATCCTGATTCGCTAAGCCAGCCGTCAGGTCTGAGTTTCTAGTGGCTGCTAAGAACTAGTAAAGTGTCATTATAATAGGACGCGCTCTAATGATCCATAGAGAAGATTGCGTTTGTCAAGCGGGCGAACAGATATATACAATGAACTGTGTACTAAGAATAAGCTAGGACTTAGCTAGCTATAGAATAGTATACTAAGACCTATTAGCTAGCCTTTATAAGAATCTCCTAAACTATACTACGCTAGAATTTTATTAATCTTATTTTACTTAACGTCAAAGTATAGCGAGTGGCCGAGAATAGCGAGTGACCGAAAATGCCAAGCCCCCATCAACCTCACCACCGTTGCGTAACCATTATAGCGCAACAATAATAGTAAATTAAAATTAGAAAAGGCTAATCTATTTAGAATTAACCTCTTTATCTTGCTTGCAGGTGCGCGAGTTGTGTCTAGTCTCACCGCAGCGTTTACAGCGCCTTTGCGACGGTTCGCCTACTTCAGCGCTCTCTCCCTTCTTTGCCTTCTTCCCACTACCACGCGCCCTAGACTCCTTTAGAGTTGCCAGTTTCTCTCCTTCTTTAATTGTTAGGGTCTCTCCTTTCTATAGCCGCTTTCTTTTGTGTGATCTCCTTCGCGTAGCAGCTTTATTCGCTGCTTTAAGCTTAAAGACCCGTTTCTTAACTAACACTAACTCATGCGCAATTGTAGTCGCACCTTTAACTAAGTTTTTAACAGCACCTAGCATACTTGTTGGTGAACTATCTAGGTACATTTAAATCCTCTGCTTCACTAGCGTCGATTGTAGCCCTATTTCTAGGGTGTTGCTTAGGGTTTGCGACTACTAGTGTAGATTTTTAGCAGCAGGTGGTGAAGGGGTGCGCAGCTTAATATCTAGCTTTGATGTCACCACCTCTAGGTCGTGTGGAACCAATCCAGCGCCTCGAAACCCTCCTAGGATATTATCCTTTGTAACTATCTGAAAATAGGCTTGCTAGAAGGCTGGCAAGAACTCTATCTTGGTCATATGGTTGATCCCATTGCGCATCAGCTCCTCGGCTTGGCGCCCATATGCCCTCTTCAAAGGCGAAAAACACCCCACATCAAGAGGCTGCAGTAGATGGGAAGAGTGCGGAGGCATACATAGAGTAACAATCTTTGCTTCTATGCAGTATTGCTAGAAGTTGACTAAGTTGTAGCTCTTATGACCGTCTAGAATGAGTAGGCGATAGGCTCTAACAGTACGCTCTTTTGTATGCCTGTTATAGTGCTCTAGCCACTTCATACCAAGCTCGTTTGTTGTCCAGCTATTCTTAGAGACTGCGAGAACCTAATCCCTAGGCAGGCTGTCTTCCTTGTACTAGGCAGAGAGGTGGTGCTTGCCCTAAAAGATGATAAAGGGTGGGATCGCCTAGCCAGCTGCGCTAACACAAACCACGCTAGTAACCCACTCTTTATTGCCCTATTGTAGAGATTTTAGCTTTAATTAATAATTAGAGGCTATAACTACTACTAACGAGTTATGCATGCCTATTATAAAGCCTGTCTTGTCAAAATTGTACATATCGTCGTCCTAGATCCTATACTTAGCTTTAGTATTCTGTATAAGGCAGAACTAGCCCTACATAAGCTTAGGATCTTCATAGAGGGCTCTCTTGTAGTCGTACTTTTAATTAAACTTTATCTTAAGCTCTAGGCGACGCTTTATAAATGCTTTAGGCTAGTTAAGGCCAACAAGGTCGCAGTAGCAGATAGCTAGCAAAGAATTAGCTAAATCTTTGATAGCAGAAAGGCGCAGCGGAAATCCTCTTATATCAAGATCAAGAATATTCTTAACAATCACCTCCTCTTCTATTATAAGTAGTTTTATTAAGTTAGGCGAACAATCTTGTCAAGAAGGCTTTCCTGCGAGTCTTTGTCTTAGGGTACGTTTAGGCACGTTGTAGAGAGCTGCAGCGCGTAGAATGTTAATTATCGCGTCGCATTTAATAACTAGCCCCACCACAAAGTGCGCGCGACCACAAAGTGCGCGCGCGGCCTCACCAAAACTACCTTAAAAACGAGGCTATAGAGCCACACTAAATAGATATTATCACGATATATTTTAGTAGTGAGATTAATAGGCTTTAATATATATATACAGCTATAGAAATCAAGATGGAGTTCTAATCGCGCGGCCGCGACGCGAGGTTGGAGGTAGTGAGCTTGCAGCACCTCCCTGAGGCTCCTTACCACCTTAAGGCCTCGCGATAGGCTTCTTTTTTTAAGTAGCCTTTGCAGGAGCTATAAAGCTCCTTCTCCTACCCCTTTAAGAAGTTTTAATAGCTTTTTAAAGTTGTTTTGCAGCCTTGCGAGCCGCGATCCTTGAGGCCTTTTCAATAGCCTTCTCCTCCCTCTCCTTCTGCCTCATTAGACTTACTGCAAGCCTCGCCTAACGCCTCTGCTCCTTCTCCCTCGCCCTAACCTGCCTTGTCTCCTCACGCTGTCTTCTCGTATCAGCCTTTTGGAGTTGCAGTTGCTCCTCCTCCTCCTCCTAGAGTTGTAGGCGATCGCGCGCCTCCTTCACCTTCCTTAGAGACTAGAATACAGCTCTACCATGATACTCCTCAGCCTCCTGTAGGGGTAGAGGCTTACCTCGTTTCCTACGTGTTCTCTTATTAACTAGAGCCTCTCTTAGCTTCCTTACTTTATCCTTAAGGAGACTGTTTTAACCTAAACTCAAGTAAAGGACCTAGCTAAGCTTTTTGGCCTGCCTATCGCCCTGATCAGCGACTACCTAACGCAGCAGACGCTCTATCTTCCTCTAATTAGAGGCACTAAGAGCTAAGGAGTCACTATCCGTCGCAGGATCAGGTATAGTAAAGCGCTGAAGGATAACTTCTAGGTTAAGAGGCGAGATCTCTGTAGCCTTAAAGGCGTTTAGGATCGTCGTTTCCTTAAAGGAGGCCTGCTAGGCAGCCTAGAAGAGGGGTAAGAAATCCCTCTTACTTATTAAAGTAAGGCCTTGGCTCCTATTCATAAAGGCAGAAACTTCGTTTGAGTACGCTGTTGAGAGAGGCTTAAACATGCTAACGTCAAGAAGCTGCAGCGTGTGGGTTAAGTGAGGAGGATATACTGCGAGGAGGATCTTATGCTTATCACAATACTTAATAAAATCTATTGTAACGTAAGATCCATGGCCGTCAAGGACGAGTAATTAATAGGAGGATCAAGCCTTCGCCTTCGTACTACGATTAAACACCTGCTATAGCCACGCAAGGCCTATCTCATTGTTCGTCCATCCAGAAGGTGATGAAGATATTCGAATTTGGTAGATGTCTAGATCAAGGGCCTGCAGCCAGGTGTCCTATATCGATCCTGAGGCTGATTGATATATGAGGGCAGGCTTAAGGCAAGATCCATCTGCGCAGA